CTTTAGCTACAATGTATCAATGTTATGTTATAAAGCGACTCTTACGCTTCTTTCGTGCTTAGCAACCTCCCACGTGCATCCATAACTCAATAGTGTACGCTGTGGTGTTTACCATTTGTTAATTGGCTTAAATGAACAAATACGAAAATACAACAGTTTGAACAACAACACCAGATGGATGCGTTACACGTCCAAAATAAAGATATCATTTGTACTAAAAAGTTATTCTGACGTATAAGCTATTACAAACAGTATATAAAAATTTGCCTTAAATAAATGGGACAAATATCCGATTAATCAAAAAATTGAAGTGTTGTGTCCACCGACCTCCTTCCTTCTCCAACATGCTGGTATAAAGAGACCACAGTGGCCTCAACAAACTCAGATCAGGCCGGTCATTTGTCTCCATTGGAATCGAACATGACCCATCTCTGTTCAAAACTTGTCTGCCAGGGAAAAAAATAGACCATCGCAGATACTGTACAATAATACTGATCAACTGTTTAAATTCTCAACTGGAAAGCAAGAAAAGTATACACCGAACCTAAATATGGCGAATGGTGCGGAGAGATTGGGCCTTGCGTCACGTAAACGAGGCTGGTCAGTCGACAGCTTTGCAAACACAAATGTTTATATCCATTGAACTAGTTTTTATACGAAGCTTTTTATTGATTTATATCGAGATTGTACCTCGTTAAAACTATGCCTTCACACTGCTGCGTTGTTGGTTGCACTCAGAGAGGTTACAAGTCGGGAAAAGGCGAAAGAGTTTCGTTTTTCAACTTCCCAAAGGAGCGTTCAAGGGGAAATCAATGTATCAACTGTTCCGTTAAATCAGTTCAAGTCATTCTGTGTGGAAAAACCGATCTCTCCTACATATCTTACCCTGACACAACTAACAGTAGTCTCAGCAGAAAGCCAGTAGCCATGAGACGCTGCTGACCAGTCTGACAGCAGGCTACTGATACCAGCCAAACCCACAACTTCTTAAGAGGCAAGGACCTGGAATTAAACAAAATCAGCTGGTCAGCGACAGAGATTTAACCCACTGATTTCAAAATTAACAACATTCTAAAATTAAACTTAAAATTAAAATCAAAATTAGTTTGCTTTATTTGGAAATTTCTCTCCGATGTGGACGTTTCTGAGAAGTATCCCACTCTTTTTACCAAGTCAGATCTTATTTTGACCAGTTCAACGTCAGTTTCGAAACGAAGAGTAATCTCCATATTGATAAGGGGGAGGAGAGAGATGAAAGCACAAACACGGCTCGTTGGTTGATTCAAACTTGGCTCATTAGGAGATACCTGGCAACTTTGTTATCCAGTGACAGCATTGCATTTAGCATTGTAAAGCCAGTCTTAAATCTAAAATGAAAAAGACGACTCGTAAGTTCGGAGATATGTATAACCTCCGTAAGTTCAGAGATATGTATAACCTCAAGGTATTGGCGAAGGAAACGATTTTATCAAGTCAATCAATGGCCGGATAATGCTATAGAACAGATACATTTCTTTTGTTTTGCAGTGCGTCAGTGTCGTTACCTGCCCAGTTGGCCGCCAGTAACTACAAATTTCCAGCCCCAGTCGTTGGTGCTGCTGTCTGAAGTGAATATGTAATACAAAGTGTCACCTGAAACAAAACATAGTTTTTAAAATGTATTTATTCCTCATGTTCAGGGCCAGATCATCTATGTCTGGTCTGTGATGCTTTACAGACCTGGTATTTCTAAATCGATCCATCGACTGCTGGGGCCAGAAAACACATGTTTGTTTTGTTCATAATCAGGTGAGGATGCAATCCGCAGTTCATCGCATCCATCCTCAGTGGAACATCTGAAAAGGCAAGAAAGATGCCAGGACAGGAATGACAAATTTCTTTGACAATTTGATGATTGCGCAATTTTAGATTTAGATTTGACGAAGCATTAACCACTGAAAAGTTAAAGAGAAACAAACTATGGTAACATACCTTGGATCAAACTTAACAAAGAGTGTAGCAGCCCCAGGAATGTGTACTTTGCCCTGTATATGGAATAAGACGGGGTAGTTGTTACTCACCTTTGCTTATAGGCGGGAGAAACGCGAAGATACAAAAGTGTCCGAGACGTTGAGTCAATTATGGGATTAGCAAAGAGCTTACACACCAGCAGACTATGTTAGGGTCTCCCCAAACTATGCAAAGTCTAGTAGAACGTGGAAAAAGCGCGTAAAATAACAAACATAAGGGGCAACAAAAACGTTCATCATTTCCTTACATCTGTATAATGTTGAACTAGGCTAAGTTTTATCTTAATTTAAGATGATGTCCATAAAAAGTTTCTTGGGGATACAAGAAGTTTTTCCTGTCAAGATAATATAAAAAAATATTTGTCAGTTTTTATGGTCCAATCCAAAACGTTGAGTGTGGAGTCACACCTCGTCCCTGGTATCATTAGGATACTTATGTTCGGACTCTCTGGTTTCAGTTGACAGCGTCACTTCACCCATGCAGTGAGCGGCAGCAAGAGACAACGGATGAACCAGTTTAGGATCTCCACACCGTACGACCGAACTCACCACCTGACAGAACAGATACAGAGTTGTTTAACAATTGGTGGGTAGGTTGAAGGGTGCGACATGCAGCAGGGTGGAAGGGAGTTCAACAGGGGTGCTTTGGAAGGTGGTTCTTCACAGGTACGGCTTGGACCAGTAAAGGATTCCCTGGAAGGGAGGGCGGGGGAATAGTGTGGAATGGAGTTTTGGGAGGAATGTACAATGCCCGCGGAAAAAAAAAAAGCATTCCAATGTCTGATTTTTAGTCAGGAAATTTAAGACTCGGAATTACCCTAACATTGCGTCGTTAATGAAAGAGAAAGTATTTCAAAATAAATTGTTCCATGAGGTTTGGGGATTATGACTTCGCATAAAATTCGCAAAGATTTCAAGTCACGATGAGACACAGAAGGCCTTCATTTCTTTTGGAAAAAAATGTGTATCGTAAGTAAGGAATTGCAATTGTTAAATTAGTGAATAAGCGGATCTCACACCTTTTCAAATAGTTCTTTACTCTCCAGTCTCTGCAATATGTCCAGCAAACCAATGAACTGGACTTCGTCGCTGTTGTCCATCAGCTCAGATGTGATCAGGTGACCCTGAGGCCACTGTCCCAACAAAATGGCGATCAAATGCCGCGAGTAGATCACTGACAAAGCAAGATTAACCTACATCAGGAATAAAAGCAGATGTCTGGATCACAATTCAAAGTATAACCAAATATATGTAAGTAGCCACACGTTTACGTTCATTACGGTTCGTTAAAAATGTTGTGATTAGATTTGAGATTGCGTAACCTTATTGTAGTCACATAATCTCTGAAAAGGGACTGGAAGCAATAAACTGGATGGACGCTTTTGCATCAAATATGTGAGATTGTGTGACGAATTAAACACTTTCAGGTTCTTCAAGTTTACATTTGTTATTATCACTGTTTACAAATTAAGAAGCCGTTAAGGCAAGCTGCAGTATCAGTAATAAAGCAAAATGGCAGGGGCACGCCCTTACTTTGGTAAGATACTCTGTACTTCCCAAGTTTTCTTCACTTTCGAGTTCCTTCTTTAGCAGCTCAGCTGATTTGGTGCGAGCTTGCTTCTCACGCGTCTAAAAGAATCAAAGATACAAAACAAAAATTTCTTTGCATTTAGTTTCTTTTATCGTGTGAAACACCTTCATCTCCTGACGCCATAATGCTTACCTCTTCAATTTCTGCATCACTAAGCGAAGGAATCAGCTTTTGAGCCGCTTCGCTTTGTTCAGCTTTGGCCTGAACATTCTTTGGTAATATCTCACTGGTCGTATAACGGACAACTCCAACGTCAACAACAGGGCCTGGTGCCAAACTGGCTTCAAGTTTCTTTTGGACGGCTTCCCTGATGAGAGAAGTAAAACTTCAGAAAGGAAAAGAAAACAATACATTTGCACAGCTACCTACAGACTGGTTTCGTGCTGAAAGATTTCAAACAAATCTGGCAATTTACATTTTTGCCAACCAAAGTACACACAGACAAATAAACAAACAAATAAACAAACAAACCAAGCAAGTAACTGCCTGAAACTTCGGTCCAAATGTGTAAAACGAGAAAAATGATTTAAAATTGCTTACCACTTCTTAGCTTGTTCTCTGACCTCGTCCGAGACTTGAAAACCTGCACCATCAAACCTGAAATATTTCAAAAACAACATGGCAATATTCTCAATCAGTCCTCCCGTCATGCCAAGCGTCACGAGACATTCCGATCGGGTAAGCAATTCTTTCCGAACCGTTACAAAACACTCCTCATCTTTCGAGCGGAGCCAATCTACTAACCAGCTTCACCAGATACGATAACCAGCTTAACGTGCATTTCTAGGCTTTCCTTAGCCAAGTTCTTAATCGCATGTAAATTCTGGGTGTGTATGTTTTGACATAAAAGGATAAGAAGAGCGAAAGAGAGGGAAATTTCACACCAAAAAGGGAAAATCAGATTGTTAGATATCTCATGCAATGAATATTAGCAGTTAGTATTTGAAGAGTGTTTTGTTTATTTACGTTACTGACCCCCTCTGCACTTCTTCCACCAGTCGACTTTGATCATGTGACACATTCTCATAGATGGCTCTAAGTACGGAGCAAGGAACATTCATCGCCTCGTAGATAGTCTAAAGAAGGTGGAGGAAAGTTCACATCGATAATTAAATACAAAAAATTATGAAGTATCATTAAAATAAGCGAGTCAAGACTTCTGTATCAGCCTTAGTACAATACAAACCTCAAAGCATGTCTTGGTGATATCATCCAGTCCTTCCAACGGGTCACCTCCGCCTTCTTCTTCTTCTTCTTTCTCTGAATTACTTGTCTCTGTTGTTTCTTTAGTTGTAGAAGTATCATTTATTGTTGGTTCAGCTTCCTGTGAAGTTTTCGATGTCGTTTTACTTTCATCTTTTTCAGCCGGTTTAGATGCAGTTGGTGCAGTAAATTGCTCTGACTTGTATAATTTGAGAGACAATACCTGTTTTAATGACAACAAATGGCAATTGGATTAGAATTCCGTACCCAAACGGCTGGTTTCGTTCAACAGATCTTCACCATGAAAATGAATAATAATGATAACAAAATAGATAAATCGTAGAGATATATAATAACAATAATAATAATAATAATAATAATAACATAATAATTTACATTTACATAGCGCAGACCTATATGTGGATATATTCAGTCGCGCTTCACAATATCGTAAGGTAAAGTTATGTTAAAAGTAACCAAAAATATAAGAACTAAGGGAACAATTACCTAGTAAAAACTAGTTAAACCTATTTGAAAGCTAAATGAAAAAAAAATGGGTTTTGACAGCAGTCTTGAAAGTGTCCAATGTCTTTATGTTGCGAATTGTGGAAGGTAATGCATTCCAGTGATCAAGTGCAGCTGACTGGAAGGCACGGTCGCTAAGGGTTGGATGGGTCTTGGTGCTAGATAATTCGAGTAATAAAGACTCGTTCGACCTAGGAGAGTACATGGATTGCTTTTTGATGCTAATTAAATCAATCAAATAATTAGTAGCTAGACCATATAAGCACTTAAATGTCAAAAGTAAAATCTTAAACTTTATACGGTAACTAATCAGGAACCAATGTAGATGGAAAAGCAATGGCGTAACATGGCAGTATCTTGGTGATCCAGTGACCAACCGAGCAGTGGCATTCTGTATCCGTTGGAGTTTCATGATATGTGAATTTGGGAGGCCATATAGTAGACTGTTACAATAGTCTATTCTACTGGTCATGAAAACATGAACTATATGCGCACGCGCACAGCACTCAGCCCACTAGGGAGGTGGTTACACGTCCTCTGTTATCAGGTGGAAGTGGAATTCAGTTTTTGGGGGAGAAGAAAAACCTCCCCCAGTAAACAGCGTTAACTAACCAATGGGTAGCTCTAACACGCTACAGTTCTCCAGTAAGTGTTAAGCCGTGATCCAAACACCCTTAAGGTGAAGCAGGGTTAAAATAATCGGTTTTTACGTTTTAAACAATCGTTACACAACGACTTTCGTAAACGCTGTGTAAACTTCGTTCAAATAATTGGTCCATTGTGCTTTAAAGATGGAGAGAATCGTCTTAGTAATTTATAGTACAATGCACAGAAGAAATGGTCGTTGCGAACGGCTATACTCGCCTCCAAATCTCGCAAAATCCACTGACTGCTGAATGTCGTTCCCTGACAGGCGATGTTCACAAGCAAAGGAACAATACCACTAGACACCATCTCTGAATTCAGGCTTAAACTTGAATTTGCCTGGAAAATTATGTAACAGTTTTTACACTTAAACGGTAACACTGGTGTTTTCGATGCTTTCACAAGCGGGTCCTAATCAAGCTATAAATGGTGCTTCTTTAAATTAAAATAATAAACACTTCACAAACTAAGGTTGTTTGTAGCAGAGACACTTCTTTTTCTCTGGCTAATGCGCCTCACATTACTCGAGGGCTTGGGTGAGAACGTTCCTTCACATCCATTTAGCTCAAATTAAAAATTTGTTAAATATCTGAATACCTTAATGTTACCAAGCAGACCCTTCAGTCCGAGAAATAAAACCCACATTCTCTCCACTGGAACGGTTTTTTCTGTTTAAAACAAACAAACTCTTTTGAATGGAAGGTTCCTTCGTTAAAATTGGCTTCAACAAATGCAGCGCTAACCACAGCACTCAACCTAAATAGCACTTACATCTGAGGGTTTACGGACTTACTATCTCTAAGAAGATGAAAAATTTTTACGACAATGTCCAGAAGAACAGGAAATCTTGAAGTCTTGAAAGTTTCACTCAGAGAAGAAGATTCCTCTAGAAGGTGCTCCTTGACCTGTTAATGAACACAATTTTATGTGTTAAATAGAAGTGTTTGGTACGAGAACAAGTAAGATAAGTTTCTTACCGTTTTTCTCTTCCGTGATTTGACATCAATGATTGTAACACTTCCTTTATCAAGGTAATATTTAAATACAACAGCTCTCCGCTTCTCTCCACTGGGATCCTTCATTTCAACCACTGACCCCATACGAACAAACTGAAATAACAATAAAAAATAATAATAATGATAAAATAAGGAATACGCTGAAGAGGCCAGGCGATCCCGTATCGCGCTTCACCTCTGACAGTCACTTCTCATCTGTTCTTGATATAAGTGTTTTACTTATTGTACCAACCTTATTGCCCTTTAGTTAAGGTTTACTTACATCAGGAAATCTTGCGAAGACAAGCAGGCCAAACAATGCGCTTAAGTCTACATTCTGCAAAGAATTAAGTAGGATAACTTGAAAATCAGCAGATTCTAAAAATGCCACAATACTTGAGGGTCGAAAACTTTGGAATCTTTTTACCTCAGCTTGTTGAGCCAAACGCTCCAGACACATTCCGACATAGTCCGCTATACTTGGCTGCCACTGAGATGAACTAGCCAATTGTTGTAAGGTGGATGCCATACATGAGGACGCATTAAGATCAGATCTGCAACAAACCAACCGAACAAATAAAGGGATCAATTTGATTTTCTTCGCTTCTTTCGTTATATCCAAAGGTCAAAACAATTACAAAGCGAGTTCGCCAAAGATTGAACATTTTTCATTTCGAAGCTCTGAGGTAAGCGTAGAACAAAACCAATCAGAATTTTAATTAATTCTCTTGTTTAGCCTTGAAAGAAAATAGCAGTTAAAGAGAACGTTCCTATAGATTTATGACTTTGTGATTGCGGTTTTTATTTTGGTACCTCAAAATGGTCATGAATACCAACCTCGCTAAGTACTCTGCTCCAAGCTGAAAGAGGAACTCAACACTGGTGTTTCCTGATGATCTCTCTTCACTGCTGATCTCACTTTCCGTCTTGACAGGTAAAGTGTAAAAGAGCGACACACCACGATCAGACACCTGAATCATCACCACAGTAAGAAATAATTGAGTCAGTAATGGAGATTGTCGAATTATGGATATCACAGAGCTCAGAATCACTAAGATAAAACACATTGCCAAAGTCACACCAGTAAAAAATACAATTAGACAGAAGGGTAGATGCTGTTGTAACCTTGAAGATTTGAACAGCATCTACTTTTCAGTTGGATTGTAGCCAAAAAGAAAAAAAATTGCCAAGCTTTGTTTCCGTTTTGTGTTAAACTTCTTCGGGAAGGTATCTAAAATAATTTACTTACAACGAAAAGAATGCTTGTTTGGTGGTGATGCACACTGCAATCATGGCAACACGGAAACGAAGCCTCAAAACAAACAAAATGAAACAACACTCACCATAGGGCTGGTGCACTGCAGAAACTTGCCGAGAATTCCAAGAGCAAGAGCTTTAGTTTTGTCGTCACATTGTGCGTCCCTGCACAAAAAAGTAACACAACTTTAGTATAACTTCCTCAATCTCCTCTTAAAAAAGAATGAAAAATGGTTCATACCTGATAATCTTAAACAAAGTTGGAAGAAATTTGTCCGATATAAACCCTTCAACTCCACAGCAATAGGATGTCCAGCGATTGATCTATAGTGAGGAAAAATAGACAGCAGGAATAACGATACACTGTTAAACTAGAAGAAGGTAACTGATTATTAAACGCTCATGCAAATATAACAATTAAGAAGCATTCCTTAATTAACGAGTTAAATAAAATCCGACTGTTAGCAGCTAGTTCCCTCCTCTGAGAATACAACCCAATAAAGATAACATCATGTATGCACCTTTGAATCCTGCGGAAGAACAGCTCCAAGAAGTCCTAAAAGTCTTTCATGCGTTTTGCTGGCAAACAGTGTTTCGATGTCTTCAGGACCTTGTGTTTTTCCATCTTGCTGTGAAGCAGATCCTTCCGCTTTATTCTCAGATGAGGGCTCTTCGTTTTTCACTACGGCTTCATTTGTCCCATCGCCTTCCGCTGTGTTTGCGTCCACCTCAGAAATTCCTTCTGTTAGAACCTTTCCTTCCACTCCAGCAGCCGTATCCTTATCATCTTTGGCTTCAGTTTCTTTGGCTTCAGTTTCGTGAGGTTCATCTCCTGATGATTGACGGGCCTCCTTATCTATCGTCTTAACAACGGCATCAGCAGATACAGCAGTAGCTACGGCGGCAGCTACAGCAGTCGTATCTATGGTCGCCGCTCCTTCAACGTCATGTGTACTCGCTCCTTCTGGAATTGACTCATGAGCTGCCCCAACAGTAACAACTTCGTTACCAGAGGATGCCCCACATTCCGTGCCATCCTCGCCTACAAGATCAAAACAAAGTAAATGTCACACTACAAGAGAAGAGCAGTGGTGGACACAGAGCTACAACAAAACAGACTGGTGTAACAAGAATTTTCCTACAGTTTAGCTGGAGTGAAGTGACTTAAAACGAATTGCCGTGAAATACGTTCCTTTTGTTTTTTGTCTTGCGAGTGTTTGAACAGAAGATCAAATGAACCAAGGTGAGATTTGTTCGAACGTGACAAGGAGAGGTTTGCTGGAGAGGCCACATTACCAAGGGTTGTTGGATATGTTTGATAAATCATTCACATACCGGTTTGCGCTTTAAAACAAGCGTGGCCTAGGCACTTAGTCACCAAAGACAGACAGTCCATGTGGAGATGGCCAGCGGTACGGAGATAATCTAAACTCACAACTTACAAAATAAAACCAAATCAACAACAAGTCAACAAAACAGAAATATTTCTTTCCCCTGTTTACCTCCTTCATAGAACTTAAAAAAATGGCATCTTTAACTACAAAATTCATGATCAAGAATAGCCATGGTGGATCACGGGACGGAAAGAAAGGAACTGTACATGTTGCATCATATACTTCTTGCAAACAGACGTTCAGACGGGATATCTTCTCACAAAACCCAACTCCATCTTATTATTGGACGTTGTACGTGTGACACGAGCCTCGCAAACATGCGGTGGAAGTAAGGTCAAATACTAGCGAGTGGCAAACTCCGAAAAAGAAAGGACAACTTATTACAGAATGATGTACAGAGAAATATTTACCAGATTTGTTTGGCTCATTAATAAAATTTGCCAAAGTAAGAGCCAAGGAAGTTAACAGTAGCCAAGCGTGATGATGAGTGTACAACTGTACACGGCTCGCTGGGTCGTTTGTACTCGTGTCTGGAAGTGAACCTTGAAAAAGTTAAATCATTCTACATTACTCACAAAAATTAAACACATTCCCACCAGATTGTTTGCATTGAAAGTTTTCAAACGTGAAAACGTCTGCCTCACCTGTCTTAAGTGGAAATTTGGTCATTTTGTGGGTCGCAGAGTGTCTGGGAGAAAACATAGTGAGCATTTTGGTCAGCGGACATGATTATCAGCTCTACTTTGGTAGAACACACAATAAGTTGCAAAGTAACGAATGAGTTTACCTTGTTGGGAACTTGCCAAATGAATGACAACCAAAACATAAATCAAAGTCTGAGCATTCATTGCAGTGGAACCGTGTTCCAACGATAAAACTCTGACACTCGTCACACTTGTATCTGAATAATTAAAGATTACCACAATTTCAGCCTGCAGGCTTGTCATTACTGCATTGTTAAACTTAAAGTGCAATGGCAATTTTTAGTAGAAAATACTGTCTTAGCTGAGCCCTCTCGCGTAAAAAGTCAGCCCAACTCCTCATTGGTTCGTTACTAAATAGCTGTCACGAACGACGTGCAAAAAAACAAACAAACAAACAAAACAAAACACAACAATAAACATACCGAATTAACACTCAAATAACACTGAGAATCATTTCGCCTTAGATCGATATTTATTCGAAGCATTATGAATTGGGAAGCGTATGCCAAGAGGCTGCACGAAATGTCGAAGGAATAGATGCATGAAGTATAACTTTGCAATATAGATTTAGCAAAATACTTCCTCTATTTGTAAATGGCTTTCTTGTGCCGATAATACGTTCATGTAATGATCACCAACCTCATATCAATAACATCATGAGAGTCTGTGTGACCTTCGGGCTTCACCCCACCTGGGTAATACAACATAAAGATTAACTTAAAGGAAGAATTACAGAATTACTTTGTTGACAAGAATCCGACTTCCCTCGCAACAGAAACTAAATAATAAAGGCTGATAGGTATGATGCACGATCCTCGCAGTAGATAGCGCTATTTATGTAATAGCGAAAATCCGACCTAAAAAATATCAGGCCTGTACGGGACTCGAACCACTGACCTCTGCGATACTAGTGCAGCGCTCTACCAATTGAGCTAACAAGCCAACTGGGAGCAGGCCGTTAAGTTGGTTCGTAATAAACCCGTGAAAGTGATAAATGAGATAGAATAAATATATGAAGTTCATATATTTTGAACTGCGGTATTAGATACGTATGATGCACGATCCTCGCAGTAGATAGCGCTATTTATGCAATAGCGAAAATCAGACCTGAAAAAAATCAGGCCTGTACGGGACTCGAACCACTGACCTCTGCGATACTAGTGCAGCGCTCTACCAATTGAGCTAACAAGCCAACTGGGAGCAGGCCGTTAAGTTGGTTCGTAATAAACCCGTGAAAGTGATAAATGAGATAGAATAAATATATGAAGTTCATATATTTTGAACTGCGGTATTAGATACGTATGATGCACGATCCTCGCAGTAGATAGCGCTATTTATGCAATAGCGAAAATCAGACCTGAAAAAAATCAGGCCTGTACGGGACTCGAACCACTGACCTCTGCGATACTAGTGCAGCGCTCTACCAATTGAGCTAACAAGCCAACTGGGAGCAGGCCGTTAAGTTGGTTCGTAATAAACCCGTGAAAGTGATAAATGAGATAGAATAAATATATGAAGTTCATATATTTTGAACTGCGGTATTAGATACGTCTGATGCACGATCCTCGCAGTAGATAGCGCTATTTATGCAATAGCGAAAATCAGACCTGAAAAAAATTTGCGCTATTGCATAAATAACGCTATCTACTGCCAGGATCGTGCATCATACATATCTAACACCACAGTTCAAAATATATGAACTTCATATATTTATTCTATCTCATTTATCACTTTCACGGGTTTATTACGAACCAACTTA